CTGTATATATATATATATATAGACCAGCCCGAGGCATGCAATTAGCTGATAACAAGCCTCTGCCTCCTGATCTCTAAGTTTAAGTTAGGGCTGGAAGCTTCATGTCATTGCCACTCTCACAGCCACTGCAAGGTCCAGTGCCACTGCCAGTGCTGGTGCCAGTTTCAGAGTTGATGCTGGTCCTAGTTTCAGTGGCAGTAATAGTGCTAGGGCCAGCACCGTCCTTGGCTTTTGGGAGTGGAGGTTTTCCCTCCGCCGCCTTCATAGCTTCCACCTGCTCAATCTGATCATTAGTACGGCAAAAATTTTATGTCAGAAATAGTTAATTAATTTATTGAAACTTTGGAACAAGACAAAACATTAAGGAAGAAATTAATTTTACTATAATGTCATAATATTATACATGCAAGTTTTTGCTTTAATGGTAGAAGAATAAACATGGAATCTTAAGTTTATATTTATATGCTATTCATTGAAAATCAAAGAGGTAGGCATGCAGGAAACAAGAAAACATGATCAAGATCCATCTGAAATAGAACTGTTCAATGCATTAAGAGAATAATTATTGATATATTATTTTGTGTTTAAGAGTACTTTCTGCATAATTTCCTCCTTTATATATCCTTCACCTATTAATTGCCAAACACTTACGAAAGCATCGGTCTCCTCCTCAATATTTCCATTCATGTAAGCTCTCAAAGCAGCCTGCAAGTAATTAAGCAACCCAAAATCGAGAATATCATTGATGGGCAAATTAAAATAACGAGATGAATAATGCTGAAAGGAAAAGAAAAGATGTGTTAAGATACCAAGGCTAGTTGGTATTCCTTAATCGACAAAGTTTGAGGCTCGGCCTCAAGAGAGGACTTGTGGTCAAGCTTCATCGAGGGTTGCCTCTCCATTATTTTAGAACTCTGATCTAAACACTCACAGAAGCTAGCTAACGGAGTTTGAGATGGAGAAATGTGAAGTGAAGCGGCGTTTATATAGTGAAATTGAGTGATTTAGCAGTGGTAAGGTGAGGTTGTGTGCCAAAACAAGATGCAAGGACGTGGCAGCCATGGTGGTCTGGCATTATGATTTTGCACATTTGGCAGCAAAGCCCTGTCTTTGGTGTAACCGTCGTCCGTAGATGAGGAGAGTTTCATTTTTTGGAGTGGATTCCATAGTTTTCTTTAACTCTTGAGATCTCACATCATCAGTCCATTGATTCACCACCTGCAGTTTCATTTTCATCTAGTAGATTATGCATCCATTGCAGAATCTCAATGCATATCTACATGAATACTCACATTGATATTGAAATTAATGCTTTGAAAACAATGGAAACAGTGGCAATTAACATTAATATTTCTAATAAAACTATAGTAATATTGTTGGCATTCTAAGGATGAATGATATTAATAAATGAATTTAGAACACATATATCAATCAAACATAGTTGATGGTAGATTATGAACTTATAATTATATGAGAAAATATAAGGAGAATCTAAAAAGTAAGTTTAATTCTGCGAATGATGATTATGTCAAATCTTATATATGCTACTTACTGGAATAATCTTGTCATTGTAAGTGATTATAGACTTTAAATCACAATAAAAGAATACTACATATATGAAAAAAAAATTATTACTCAAAAAATTATTACTCAATTCATATAGAATAATGAATATCATTATTACGATAATCCGATTGAGTGCGTTGTTTCGTATAATAATGAAAACAATAATTTTGTTGAGAAAAGACCAAAGGTTCTTTATTCTGTACGACAAAAATATACGTCATAACAAAATCTTATTTATAGAATATACGATAACAAAATGTTTAATCATTAGGATTTTTTTCTAACATAATACGACAAAAATATTTATTATCAAAAAACTTTCTTTATAGTATACAACAACAGAAGGTTTGATCATTATGATAACTTTTTCTTGACATGATACAACAAAAATATTTGTTATGAAAAAATTGTCTTTACAAAATACGTCAACCGAAGGTTCAATCATTACAATAAATTTTTTGAACATAATACGATAAAAATATTTATTATGATAAAAACTTATTTATAGAATTTAGAATGTTCAATTTCTATGATAAATATTTCTAATATAATACGACAAAGATATTTATTATGACAAAATCTTCTTTATAAAATATACGACAACAAAATGTTTAATGTTTAATTACTATGAAAAATAATTTCTTTTTTAAATAATACGACAAAAATATTTATTATGACAAAATCTTCTTTATAGAATATATGACAAGTGAATATTCAATTATTATGATAAATATTTTTAAACATAATAGAATAGAAATATATTCAATATAACTAGATCTTTTTTAAAGACTATACAAAAACAAAATGTTTGTAGGATAATTTTTCTAAACATAATACAATAATGATATTATATTTTCTTTATAAAATATATGACAACAAAATGTTTATCGATATTATAAATTTTTTCTTACAGACGTTTCACACTAATTATAATTATCTTCAATCAATATCATGATCAATAATATCGAAACAAAATGTTATGTTGAATTATATTGAATATCACTATATGAATAAAGATTTAGGATACAAAACTTAAGATATAGACTTTGAAAATGTATAATGCGACAATATTGCTTTTCGATAATAATTTTCTAGTATGGATATTCTTACGTAAATTTTGTGAGGACTATGCTTAAACATTATTGGATTCATCATTACAAACCATATTTAAATACCATTTGATTTATCTATAAAATATCATTTCGGTTCAATGACGAAGAATCTAATGATGTTTACGTATAATCGTCACAAAATTCATGTAAGAAGGTCCTTACTAAAAAAATTATTCTGTTTTTTGAGATATAATTTCAAACACTTAAAATATAGTTGAATTGCATTTCATTTGGCTTATATACGTACATGTTCATATGGATTTGACAATTGGATCGATGTCACATACATACAACCACAACCACTACAAGAAAAAGGACCAACCCCCATTGAAACAACTCCATAAACATAAACACAAACATAACATAACATAAACTGACCACCACCACAACACTTAACACAAAACACTTAAAGATAAACATAACATAGACCACACACACACACACACCCCTATATATATAGTAGACTAGCTAGAGGCAATGCGTGCAGCTGATAACAAACAAGCCTTCTCTCCTCTTTTAAGTTCAAGCTAGGGCTGGAAGCTTCATGTCACTCCCACTGCCTGCAGTTCCGGTACCACTGCCACTGCCGGTGGTGCTGCTGGAGCTGCTGCTAGTTTCAGTGCTGGTGTTGGTGCTAGGGCCAGCGCCATCCTTGGTGGCTTTTGGGAGTGGAGGTTTTCCCTCCGCCGCCTTCATAGCTTCAACCTGCTCAATCTGATCATCAGTACAGAAAAAGTTTAAAGTCAGAAATAATTTATTAATTTATTAACTTTGGAACAAGACAAAAGTTTAAGGAAGAAATTGATATTATTCTAGTGTCATAATAATATACATGCAAGTTTTTGCTTAAATGGTAAAAGAATTTATTATAAAAAGAATATCCTGCACACCATCACCAAGTAACCAGGCGAGCTAGAACCTTAAGTTTTATATTTATATCCTATTTATTGAAAATCAAAGGTAGGCAGGAAGCAAGAAAACATGATCAATATACATCTGAAATAAACTGATAAAAGCATTAATTATTTATATATTATTTTGTGTTTAAGATCGGACTTTTGGATTAAACATGCATGAACATGATATTTTCTGCATAATTTCCTCCTTTATCCTTCACCCAGTCCCAATTAATTGCATGCCAAATGAATACTTGGCAAACACTTACTAGGGCGTCGGTCTCCTCCTCAATATTTCCGTTCACATAAGCTCTCAGAGCTGCCTGCAAGTAATTAAACAACATAAATTTAGAAATTAAAAATAACCATACATATAATGCTGAAAGGAAAAGAAAAGAATGTGTTAAGATACCAAGGCGAGTTGGTATTCCTTATTCGACAAAGTTTGAGGCTCGGCCTCAAGAGAGGACTTGAGCTCGAGCTTCATCGAGGGCTGTCTTTCCATGATGCTAACTCTCTAGGTAAACACTCACAGAAGTTTGAGATTGTTTGTGACGGAGAAATGTGCAGTGAAGGGGGTGTTTATATAGCGAAATCGAGTGAAAAAGCAGTGGTAAGGTGATGTTGTGTGCCAAAACAAGAAGCAAGAACGTGGCAACCATGGTGGTCTGGCATTAAGATTTTGCACATTTGGCAACAACGCTTTGTCTTTGGCGTAACCGCCGTCTGTAGGAGATGAGGAGAATTACTTGTTTGGCAGTGGTTTCTATAGCTTTCTTTAACTCGGATCTCACATCAACCATCCACTGATTCACCACCAAATCCTCCCACAGTTTCATTTCCATCTTCTAGATGATGCATCCATTGCAGAATCTCAATGCATCTTTATATGAATACTCACATTAATTCCGTTGTGACTGTGTGATATTGAAATTAATGGTTTGAAAAAGTAACAATGGAAACAGTGGGAATTAACTATAGTTTTACGCGCAACCATAAGTTTCCCAAATCAAATTCTGGTGATCATGAACGGAGTTTCCAATGTTCTTGGTTTGACAAATATTCTTACTGGTTGGAATATAGTGTTAAGAATGATGTTGCATATTGTTTATGTTATTATCTTTTCAAACCAGATAAAGGTGAGCAAAGTGGCGGTGATTCTTTTGTTCTTGATGGGTTTCGAAATTGGAAGAGACTTGAAAAATTTTAATATCATATTGGAGGTCCTAACAGCTATCATAACCAAGCTGTGAAAAATTGTCAAGCTTTGATGAATCAAAAGCAGCATGTAAGTACAATTATTAATAAAAAATCTGACCAACAGTGAGAAGATTATCGTATTCGGTTGAAAGGATCAATTTCTGCTAGTCGGTTTCTTCTTCGACAAGGATTGCTTTTTCGTGGCCATGATGAGTCTGTTAATTCAATGAATCAGGGAAACTTTCTTGAACTTTTACACTATACAGCTGAACAAAATGAAGAATATAGATTAGTAGGATTGGAGAATGCTCCTGGACATGATAAATTGATTGCTCCTAGTATCCAAAAAGACATAATCAATGCATTTGCAGTTGAAACCATCAATAAACTAATTAGTGATCTTGGAGATGTTTTTTTTTCTATACTAGTTGATGAAGCTCGTGATGGATCCAACAAAAAGCAGATGACAATTATCTTACGTTATGTAAATAAAAGGAGATGTGTTGTTGAGTGTCTATTGATCATTATGCATGTCACAGATACGACTGCTTTGTCACTAATGATAGGAATCGAAACATTGTTCTCTAAATACAATTTGAGCATATCAAGATTACGTGGACAAGGTTATGATGGTGCGAGTAATATGGGAGGTCAGTTTAATAGGTTAAAGATACTTATATTGACAGATAATGAATATGCCTTCTATATTCATTGTTTTGCTCACCAACTTCAACTAGCACTTGTAGCTGTGGCAAAAAAGGATACAAATATTGAGAGACTTTTTTTGAAAGTTTCTTGTGTGATAAATATTGTTGGATGGTCACCTAGACGTAGGGATTTTCTTAATGAGAAACAAGCTTTGAAGGTGAAAAAAGCTATTGAAAGTGGTGAGCTTTCAACAGGGTAATGTCTTAATCAAGATATTAGTCTTAAGCGGCCAGGGGAAACACAGTGGGGTTCACATTATGGGACTTTATTGAGCTTGATTAATTTGTTTTCATCTGTTATTGAAGTGCTTGAGGATCTTATTGAAAATTCTGATAATCGAGTTGAAGCAAGTGATTTGGTGGATTATATGACTTCTTTTGATTTTGCTTTTAACCTGCACATGATGAAAAACATTTTGGGAATCACATTTGAACTTTCACAAGCATTGCAAAGGAAGGATCAAGATATTATAAATGCTATGTCTTTGGTTCACTTGTCAAAAAGAAGATTATTGTTGATAAGAAATAACGGATGGGATAATCTACTTGATGAAGTTTCTCATTTTTGCATTGCTCATAATATAGATATGCCAAATATGCAAGAGAAATTTGTTGCACGAGGGAGATCGCGGCGTAATGTTCAAGAGATGACAAATTTATTTCATTATCGTGTTGAGTTGTTCTATGCCATAATAGATTTGCAACTATCAGAGCTTGACAGTCGTTTTAATGAAGGTAATACAAAATTACTTATTTGCATGGCCTCCCTAAATCAAAGTGATTGTTTTCAAGCATTTGATAAGGGAAAATTAGTTTGTTTTGCTCAATTTTATCCACTTGAATTTTCTTCTACTGATCTTATGGCACTTGAACTTCAACTTGATAATTACATTGATGATATGCGCTCAAATATTGATTTTTCAGAACTAAATGATATTACCAGTCTTGCTCAAAAAATGGTTGAAAAGAAGAAGCATCTTATTTACTCATTGGTATATTTGCTCACCACATTGGCTTTAACCTTACCAGTTGCAACTGTAAGTGTAGAAAGGGCATTTTCTGCTATGAAAATTGTGAAGACTCATTTACGCAATCGGATGGGAGTTCAATTCTTGAATGATAGCCTAATTTCATATATTGAGAAAGATATATTTGACAGTGTTGATAAAGAGATGGTCATGCAACGATTCCTCAATATGAAGCTCCGCCGAGGACAATAGTAAATGTAATTTTTTTTTTTGTGACAATATTGACTGGAAAAATAGAATACAAATGTTATATACAATTAGTTTTTATTTGGCCCACCCTAATAGAAATTTCTGGATCCGCCCCTGACTATAAAGAGGTTATAACCTAATAGAGGTGTAGTTACAAAAATTATTGTTTTAACTTAGTTATTCTTAGTGCAAGTGGTATAGAGGTAAAATATGCACTCATTAATAATTAATTAATGGAGCATGTCAAGGTATAGACATTGATAAGAGATTCAAACGTAGTTTCATGCCAAGAAGCTCTAAACATGCTTGAAAACCTAGAAATATTTTAGCTTCAACAAGAAGATATACATGCTAACGAGTTATTACGTACCGACAAATTCAAAAATGTGGTAATAATTCTAAAGTAAGAATCATTGTCGCAAACAAATTTAGATGAGTATTTTATTTCATCTTAAACCTTTAATATAATATGACATAAATTTTTTGCAATTTATATATAATTATTACTATTTGGAGGCAAGTTCCTTGAGACGAAACCTAGAAAAATAATAATTAGATGAATTCTATTGTATAGAGTATCATTATATAGAAATTATATTGTATATTGAAAATTACTAGATGAATAAAGACTTAGGATACAAAAGTTAAAAGATATAAATTTGAAACCTATATATTATAATTTGAAAATATTTCTTTTCAATATATATATATATATATATTAGTTTATCTGTATTTTATTTTACTTATATGTACAGTAAAACTTCTTTATAATGATACTTTATGTAGGAATAACTTCTATATTGTCATAAAAAATTATAGTTCTCACTTGGGATGATTATAAATAAGAATAAACTCCACATTGTAATAAGTTATATTTTTTTCTAATTCTCGTCTTAAGAAAGTTGCCTTCATATAGTAATTATTATATGTATATTGTAAAAATATATATACTATGTTACATTAAAGGTTTAAGATGAAATAAAACATTTATCTAAAGTTCTTTGGGACAATAATTTATGTTTTAAAGTTGTTACTATATCTTTTAACTTGTGAGTACATAATAACTCGCTAATAAAGACACATTCTTGTTGAAGCCAGAACATTTATAGCTTCTAAAAAATGTTTAAAGCTTCTTAGCATGAAACTTTTTGTATTTTTGTACTATTATCCTCATAATTATTTCATTTCTATTCTTGCCTAATTGCAGCAATGACTACTAAAACAATTAATTGAAATCCTAATACATACTATTAAAACGTGAATTATAAAATAAGAAATTAAAACATTAATTTTTATAACTACATCTCTATTAAGTTATAACCTCCTTATGATAATAAATTAGTTTAATCCCACCATTGTGATTATAGAAAGGTTTAAGTGTAGATGCATATTCATATGAATTTGATAATCGGATCAATGTGACATTTAATTGTTTCTATTTTAGGCACCAAAATTTTAAACAGTGATATGAAGATATAAACTTAATTGAGACACGAAGGGACATAATTAATAGTTCAACGAAGCTACAATTTATTAAAGGTGACATATATATCACCATATTTCATACATAAGAAACAGCTTAATCAAAACAAGAAGGAACAACAACGCTGGCTTGAAAAAAGTCTTTGTGCTTCAACATGCAGATCACTGGAGTTCTCAAATGAAGTCAGTCCTTCAATCTTCCTCATAATCAGCTGCCTTGAACTCCCAAGTTGCCTTCACTGCACCTTGAATGGGATGCAGACCCTGAAACATCAAATTTTATATCATTAATTAATCTTCATTTAATTAACAAAATTAAGATGATGAGTTGATACCTCCAGAAATATCTTCAATGCCTCCTCTGGCGTGTTACTATTGATCACTTTCAGGGCTGCTTCCTGTATTAGTCAAACATAAATTTTAATAAAAAATACAAAAACAAAGAAACAATAATATTAAAAATTAATTAATATATATAATTATGCAGACCCTTGCTGAGTCCAGCTCCTTCTCAAACAATGTCTTGGGTTCAGTTTCCAGGGATGATTTCCTCTCTAGTTTTTTTTCAGAAGATGAAGGCTTTTCTTTTTCCATATTCATTCTCCTTTCAAACCAAAAACAAAAAAAAAAAAAACAAAAAAAAAAAAAAAAGATTCAATGGCTTGTTTATTATTGTTTAGGGTTGTTTTGTTTATATAAAAATAAAAGAGAAGAAGAGGATGCATGCATGGTGAGGGAGATGAGGTGTGATGATGCAAAAACGTGGCAGCCATGGTGGGAGAAGACAAGGAAATAGATACAGATGGCAGAAGGATAAAGTGTTGAATGTATAACCGTCGCTTGGCGAGTCAGTAACAGCCAATAATGGGAGCGTTTCTTTGAGAATTTTTCAGAAAAGGTGAGTGGATTTGTGCAGTGGCTGGCAGTACCAATCAGTAAAAGCTATTAGCTTCATGCAAACTGCTTTGATTCTCTCATGAAAATGTAACTCCATAACCATACATCCTTATTACGTCTTTCTATTAGATACACCTGCATATTGGCCATGGCTAATTCAATTAATTTATTGAAAAGAATTGCTGTTTTTAGCATTTAATTTCATCTTTTTAATATCTCTGTATATACAACATTATCATGTATAATGTCTTTAGTTGGGTTTATTTAATATTTATAGGTCAAAAGATTTTATTTAAAATTTTAGGTTGTTTGGTTGATTTTAAAGGTGCTTATAAGATTTTAAACAAATTATTTTGGGTTTTATTTAAAAATCAGATGCAACATTTACTTGTAATTATAAACTCTGTTTATTGAAATGGGAAATGATAATACATGATAACTATGGTGGTGCTATATATGGTGGAGCACCTACCATTTACAAACTGCACTTAAATATAAAGTAATTTATATAAAAACCAGAGCTTTCTGCTGCATGTTAAGCCTCCATCGATCACTTCAAATTCAGTTCCTTCAAGTTCTTCTCAACATTTTCATATCCTTCATCAGGTTTCGAGGTTGATGATGAACTCCCCTTTCCCGCTTCATCTGATATTGCAATTTCAACCTGAAATATAATTTAATTATATCAATCTCTCAGAAAAAAAAATATATATAAATAACAATTATATGTATAAATAACATATTAAACAACGATATTAGTATTTGTCATGGCCTGAAAATACTTACACCCATTAATTTAATGGTGTTCCTTTGTTCTAATGCTTGCATTGCTCCTAGTGCCTGCTTAATCCGCTAAAACATTATATATATTATCAAATGAATGGTATTTAATTAATTAAAAAAACATGGGAAATTAAAAAAAAAAAAAAAAAAAATTAATTACCCTTGCTACATTGATTTGTGCTACTGTAAGATTCTTTGTTTCAGTAGTTTGAACCTGAGAAGGCTGCTGGCTCGCCATTGTTATCTCTCTAATTGCAGTGACTGATTATCAATGAAGGGGTGTGTTATTAGATATATAAAGTGTCATGGAAGGAGTCGAGACAAAAAATAATTGCCATTTGGCAACCCTCAAAATGTAACGCATTTTGAACAGGTAATTAAAACTTATCTAATTTTGAATATCATACCATCTATATACTTATTCTCTCTTTAATTTATTTGTAAAAGTTTTAATTAAATCTTATATATGCTATTTCTTGGAATAAAGTGGTTATAGAAATTAAATCACAATAAAACAATATTGTGTGCAAAAAAAAATTATTAATCGATTCATTTACGATAATGAATATTATTATTATTATGATTTATAATGAATATCATGATTATGATTTATGATTCCGACAGAGTACGACAATTTAATTTGTCGTTACATAATAATGAAGACGATAACTTTGTTGAAGTATGAACAAAGTTTCATTATTATGTACGACAAAAATATCCGTTATGATAGAATCTTACTTATAGAATATACAGAGACAGAATGTTTTACTATTATAATATTTTTTCTCGACATAATATGACAAAAGTATTCATTATAAAAAATATATATATATTTATAGAATGTACTACAACAGAGGTTCGATCGTTATGATAATTGTTTCTTGATATAACACGACAAAAATATTAGTTATGAAAAAAATCCTTTATGAAATAAAAACATTTATTTTGACAAAATCTTCTTTATATAATATATGACAACAAAATGTTCAATTATTATGATAAATATTTTTTAACATAATACAACAAAGATAATTATTATGAAAAAAAAAATTTATTCTTTAAACAAAAAACATCAATAGAACATTCAATTATTATGATAAATATTTCTAAACATATTACGACAAAAATATTTGATACAACAAAATCTTCTTTAAAGAATATATGACAACTGAATTTTCATATAATAATTTTTCTAAACATAATATGATAAATATATTATATTTTCTTTATAGAATATACAAACAACAAAATGTTTGATCATATTATAAATTTACTCAAAATTTATTTTACTTTTTCTTGATTAATTACAATTTTTTCATAAAAAATAATTTTCTTAAACTCTTCTTTTGTAAGATTCATTCTAATAAGTGGTACCAAACAAATCTAAAAAAAAAAAAAAAAATTATATGTTTTTCAGTAAATCATATATATATATATTAACTAAACCTATAAGCAAAATCAGAAATCAAATACAACATTAATTAGATTCATAAACTCTGTTTATTCAAACGGAAAACAGTAATACATGATAACCATGGCGGTGATATATATGCTAGAGCAAGCACCTGCCATTTAGAACCAGCATTGAAACACAAAGTAATTTATTTTATATTAAAAGCAAGGGCTTTTTTTCAGAAAATTAAGCCTCATTATTTCACATTTAGATCCTTCAGAGTCTGCTGAAGATTTTGATATTCTTGGTCACGATCATTCGAGCTGGAACTGGAACTCCCTTCTCCCCCTTCGTCTCATATTGCGATGCCACCCTTCATTTAATCACCACATAAAACTAATAAATACTTTAAAAATATATATCATTAATATTTATAGGAATTGGCCTA